AAATGTTTGATCTAGGTGTAATGAGGCTCAAATATGACTAAGGTAGTGGGCCACTATGTGGGCAAAATTGCGTAAATAAATCAAACTATGCAATTTGATCGAATGTTTTAATCTAAATTTAATCATACCTAGACAGTTTCACGATAAATTATACCACCAAAATCACATTATTCTAAGGATATAGAACACTAACCAATTCCGGTTTGGCGTCGATACGTCCTGTCAATTAGCAGTTTTTAAACATAAAACACAAACAGATCAATAATCAATCAAACGATAGAATACAATTAATATACACACTCAGTCAATTCAGTTCCAGTTTCAGTCAGTCAGTTCAGTACTTTAACCAGTCCAATTATCAGTCATAATCAGTTCAGTTTAACGGTAATCAATGTTATCGGTAATCAAATCAGTCATTATCGTAAACAGTATGAGGGTTGTTACAGTCTCCCCCTCTTATAAAGAGTTTAGTCTCTAAACTCGAGTCTACCCTTCATTCTGGAAGAAAACAGGGTTTCAGTGGAAACATTCCAGGATATCTTTTAGCCATGTCATCTTCCCTTTCCAAGTGGCATACCCCACCATGGTTTCTGCAGTCGACTTTTCACTAACAGGGATCTATTTGTTTCTCAGTTTCTTAATCCGTCTGTTTACAATCTGTATAGGCCGTTTCTCGTAAGTGTTAGTCTCACTCAACACTACCCGAGTAGGCTCAAATTACATGGAAGGATCCCGAGATATCTCTTAACATCGAAATGTGGAAAACATTATGCTGTGCTCCATTTCAGGAGGGAGCGCAACCTGATACGCCACCGATTATTTTCTCAATAATTCATACAGTCCGACGTATCTTGGCGCTAACTTGCTTTGACTCCAAAACGAGTCCTGGCCCTTCATTGGTGTCACTTTCACAAAACCGTGATCACCCACTTCATACTCTCTGTCCCGTCTTCTAACACAGCATAACTTTCTGTCTGCTCTGGCAGTTTCAATCTCTGTTGTATCAGTTTCACTTTCTCAGTTGTTTCATATACAACTCGGGCCCAAGCAGGCCCTCTCCAACTTCTGCCAGCAAATCGGAGCTCTACATTTTTCTGCCATACAATGCCTCGAAAGGCGCCATACCAATACTCGATGGTAGCTTTGTTGTAGCGAATTCACTAAGGCGATGACTTTCCCAATCTCCCTGAAAATCAAGGACACACATTCTCAATAAGTCCTCCAGAGTCTGGATGGTCCTTCTGACTGGCTCATCTGTCTGAGGATGATAAGGCTACCAGTCTCAGTTCAGTAACAATGCAGTCCTGTAGGCTTTGCCAAAACTCGATGGTACGCATCCACACTTATTACAAATTTGCCTTCGCTCGGAGGGACCGAAAGAATAATACAGATTTAACTAACCTACAAGCTAATTAAATATTACAGACAATTAACTAAGCTAATTAAGTAGTAAACAGCCTCGGGAAGAGGGTCCAATGCAATGCGTGCTTGGCTCCGCTCGGAAGTCCACTACCATGCACAAGTTGCCTCTGTGCACATGATTTTCCTTCTCTGACCATTGTGAAACACTCTGGAATCACCTCTTAATGGAAATGTTGCATACATTACTTTCCAAATCCCACAAGTCAATCATCAGTAAATGCAAAAAGAATTTCATGTCAAGCATAGAACTGTAAACTTCAACATTATCGAATCAAATAAATACTCATTGCTAAATTAAATAAGATTAAATGATTCATAGGAGAAAAAATACCGAATTAATTGGATAAATATTCTTTTTCATGAGATTTATTGATAAATTTTTTTTAAAATATTTAATTATATTTTTTTTGTATTTACTCATGAATTTTTTTAATTATAATTTGAAAAATATAAAATTATATTATTTTTTTTTAATTATAAAATATATACAATGTATAACATTTAAAAAATGTGTACTTTTTCACCCTTAAAATATTGATTAGTAGTCAAAATGTTATGATGGGAGTCAAATGCCAGCTTGATGTCATACCTAACATGATAATCTTAAAATTACAAAGACACAGTTTTTCTTCAAATCTTTAAAAATAATAAAAATAAAAATAAAAATCTTAAAAATCTCAAGTTGAGCGTAAATCATAACAATAAATAGCAAGTTTAATTTACAAATCTTTTTTTCTTAATAATTTTTTTGTGCTATAATTTTTAATCCTTAACATTACTGATTATACACAAAATCGATAAAACTAGGTTAAATTACTATACACGTTTTTATTGCCAAATTCTAAAAATTCAACAAAAAAATGAACTTAAGGTAGACAAATAGAGTCTATAGTTTTTTGCTAGTAAAGCAACAAGATTAGAATACAAGTAATTATGGAAGAGGAAATATTGATATATTGACTGTAGTTTATACGTTTAGGTTATTTCATTAGTGTTTTTATTTTTAGTTAAAGCATTTTATTTTTTAAGTTCATTCAGACTAGATAATCTTTCAAATTAAAAAAATATATATATCAGTAAAGACAAAAATAGTTCAATTTTTTTAATTATAAATTTTACTCATTTTTGTCTTTAGTAAAAAAAATATAAACAGAATTTATTCTTTTTTTTTTTTAATTATCAATATCATAGTCTAGACAAACTTAACAAGCAAAAATTATGACATAATTTAGAAAAAAAAAAAAAAAAGGTTTACTAAACACTAAAAGGGCATTCAAGTTTAGGTAAACTATCAATAGGTATTAATAATTTAACTTAATTCTCATCAAGTCCTATTGAAAATAAGTGTTAATAAAATCATCGTTAAAAATAAACTTTACGACAATTTTTTGCATACATCGCTAAAAATTGACAATAATAACTTTTTTTGTCACGGTTTTTATAAATTGTCACTAAAACTTATAATTAGTGATATTTTTCTATGACGAATTTTTTAAACTGTCGTTAAAAGTTAAAACTTAGTGATTTTTTTTTTTTATAACGATTTTTTTAAACTGTTACTAAAACTTTATTAGTGACATTTTTTATAACAAAACTTTCAAATATCGCTAAAAATTAACAATTAATGACATTTTTTAATAGTGTTTGATGAAAAACGTCATTAATTATCATAGAATCTATTAGATAATAAGTTTACCTATTAGGATCTATACGTAAGTCTCTCTTTAATTTATTTAGTAACTAAATAATATAAAATTAATATTAATATTTATAAAACTCCTTATCCAAGCACTTTGGCACTATGGATTACATGTTTTTCTAAGCATTAAAAACAAAAATGATTTAGACCTCTAAAAATAGACCTCTAATAGAGCATTAATTTGTCTTTTTCTTCTTCATTTTTTGTCTTCTACTTCACTATTTTTTTTTTTTTTTTAATAGGTGGACAGCTCATTAGAGCTGCACTGTAGCAGCTCTAATTAAAGCTCTACAGCATGACTGCATTAAAAATATCGGGTTGAGAGGGCCATCTAACCCATGTCCACCCCTAACTGCATCGATCTATTAGTAAGGATTTTTTTTCATTAAACTTATTGAGTGTTCTTATATTTACTCATGTATTTATTTATTTAATGTATTATCGATAGTGCTAGAACCTTTATTTATCAATTGAACCTTTGTTTAATCCAAGATTTTGTTTGGTTGCAAACAAAAAGAACCAATGAATTCACAAAGTAGTTAACCTGATTCATTCATCAAAGTGGGAAAATAGATTGAAAATTCTTTAAAACAGTGCAAAATACAACAGACTTTCAAACTCAATTTGGAGTTTTCAGTACCCAGATGGGTTCAATAGTGCCATGGCCTATCTTTCTGTTGATGCATTTTGTTGTTCTTATCTGCTCTGTTTTGTGGTGGGAATGAGACTGACTGGCTAGCCTTGCTTGCATTTAAGTTTGAAATAACCAGTGATCCATTCGGTGCTCTCAACTCGGGAAATGAATTAATCCACTTCTGTCAATGGTTTGGTGCAACATGTGGCTGCTCCAACCAGAGGCTGATTGTGTTGAACTTGGATCATCGAAAATTAACAGGCTCCATTTCACCTCACAGTGGAAATCTAAGCTTTCTAAACGAACTATCCTTGAGTAACAATAGTCGTAGTCACAAAATTCCCCCATAACTCAGTCGTTTTCCTAGACTGCAGAAGTTGTCGCTGCTCAATAATTCAATTAGCAGTGAAATTCCCGCCAATGTATCTGCTTGCTCTAATCTTGTTGTCCTTGAATTTTCTGGCAACCCAGAAAATTCAAGTGGAGCTGGGTTCTCTGTCTAAGTTAAAGAGACTGTACATTGGGAGAAACAATTTGACGGGTAGTGTGCCTTTTTCTTTTGGGAATCTATCAGCTCCTACTGAATTTGTCGCAGAAGAAAATAGTAATGGTGGTGACATACCTAATGATCTGGGTCAATTGACAAAATTGGAAGTTTTTCTGTTGAGGGTAAATAGGTTGGTTGGTACCATTCCTGTCTCAATCTTTAATCTCTCGTCCATTACAGAATTTAATGTTGTAACGAATCAAATTCAAGGGAGCCTTCCCTGGGACCTAGGAATTACTATTCCCAGTCTTAGTGTCTTTGAAGTTGGTGTGAACTCGTTTACTAGATCCATTCCTATTTTAATGTCTAATGCCACCAAACTACATCACCTTGGCTTGGCCGGTAATAAATTTACTGGAAAAGTTCCTCCTTCGGACTTCCACGGAAATGGTTTAGGAACTGGGGAAGTTGATGACTTGAGCTTTCTCCGTTCTTTGACCAATGCGACAAATTTGTACGGTCTAGATCTGAGCAACAACAATTTTGGAGGATTGTTGCCTGAATCAATTGGCAATTTATCCACTCATCTTAGCAAACTAATATTGAGCAACAATGAAATAGTTGGGATCATCCCAACCGGGATAGGGAATTTGATCAATTTGCAGATTCTTGACTTGTCAAACAACAATTTCACAGGTAACATTCTTGCGGCTATTGGAAAGCTTCAAAAGCTATAGAAATTGGAACTCTCAGGTAATATGATTTACGAAGATATCCCATTGTCTTTTGGAAATTTAACTGTGTTGGCAAATCTTATGTTATGCAACAATAATCTTCGTGGCAGAATCCCTTCAAGTCTGGGGAAATGCCAAATGTTACAGGAAGTAAGACTTATTCAAAACAATCTTAGTGGTTCCATACCTAGTGAAGTTCTCAGTCTCTCATCGTTATTGTATCTATACATATCTCGTAATGATTTGACAATTTCCCTTCCAACGGAAATTGGAATTTTAAAAAATCTAGAAGAACTTGATGTTTCCGAGAACATGTTTCCAAGCACTCTTGGTAGTTGCCAAAAATTGAGATTACTACATATAGAGAGCAACAAATTTTGGGGAATCCTTCCTTCATATTTAAGTAATTTGAGAGGTATGAAGGAGCTAAATCTTTTTCACAATAATTTCTCTGGAAAAATCGCAGACTATTTGGAGGACTTTCCCATCTAAAAAAATTAAATCTACCATTCAATGATTTTGAGGGTGCAGTACCAGAAAGTGGCATATTTCAAAATGTAACATCTATTTCTGTCAAGGGAAACGACAAGCTTTGTGGGGGTATACCTGAATTACAGCTGTACAGTTGCGACTTCAGGGGGCTCCAAAGGGAAAATTTTTCTTGAAGCTTGAAATTAATAATCCTCGTAATATGTTTCCTATATCTTTGCCAGTGTAGAAAGACTAAAAAAGTACCTTCTTTCGAATATTTAGAGCTCTCATTTTTTAAATTGTCATACCAAAGTCTACTTAAAGCTACTGATGGGTTTTCTCCATCCAATTTGGTCTGTGTGGTTAGTTTTGGTTCTATGTACAAAGGAGTTCTTGGTGAAGGTGAAAATGTTGTAGCAGTGGAAGTACTAAACCTTCAATGCCTTGGAGCTTCCTAGAGTTTCTTCATCGAGTGTGAGACCTTGAGGCACATAAAACATCAAAATCTTCTCAAGGTTCTCACAGCATGTTCAATTGTTGACTATCATGGTAACAATTTCAAAGCTCGTGTTTGTGAGTTTATGGTTACTGGTAGCCTAGAGGATTGGTTACATGCAAATGAGAATGAAGATGAGGTGCATAAATACTCGAGGAATTTAGACCTTGTAGAGGTTGCCATTGATATTGCTTCTGCACTTGATTATCTTCACAATCGTTGCTCAGAACCAATTGTTCACTGTGATCTCAAGCTGAGCAATGTTCTTCTAGACGATGAAATGACTGCTCATGTAGGTGACTTTGGATTAGCAAGATTCCTTCCAGAAGCTAACTATGACTGTTCAGCAAACCAATCAAGTTCTGTTGGCATAAGAGGATCTGTCGGTTATGCTGCTGCTGGTAAATATACCTCTCAGGTTCTTTGTTTTCCTTTGTTCTGTTGGCACTTGGTTGTTTTAATCTGATTGTTTGATCTGACCCTTTTTGAGGATATAAATTGGTACACGCATGTTTTTCTATCCATAGTCAATGAAACAGAGTTGATGGTTTTTTGTTTTTGTTCCTCACAATACACTATAATAAATATTTCGCTGATTGTTTTCAGTGTATTTCTCTCACATACAGTACAATGGATGGATGGATGAATGACTTTCAAAACTATAACTTTTTATTTTATTAAATTTTTTTCCCCCCTCATGTTAGGGCATTAGTTTACTTGAATTTGTGATTATTTTGTGCCATCAATGGGTGGATGTACCAATATCAGCAAATCGTGATCCCTAACATAATAATGCATGAATTGCAGAATATGGCATGGGAAATGAGCAGTCAACATTTGGTGATGTATATAGTTATGGCATCCTTTTATTGGAGATGTTCACGGGGAAGAGACCTACAGATAACATATTTTGTGATAGTTTGGGTCTTCATAGCTTCGTTAAGACTGCTTTGCTCGAACAAGCAGCAAGCATTATTGCCAATCCAAGACTGTTTAAACAAAAAGATCAGAGCTCTACTAATAGTCACAAAATTCAAGAGTGCTTGATTTGGATTCTTAAAGTTGGAATTACTTGTTCAGAGGAATGACCAAAAGATCGGATGGCGATTAATGATGTTGGTACTCAGTTGCAAGTGATCAGAAACGCTCTTGTTGGAACTAGGAAGTATACATGGAGGTAGAGGAGCTAAAATTGAAATGCAATCATGAGTAGGTTTTTTGTTCATAAACATTTACAAATTCTCATTTGTTTCTGTATTTTGTTCTTTTCGTCGAACTTGGATTCTTGAGGAAGCAATTGGCAATGTTAAGGATAGGAGCAAGAAGCACCAATTCAAATATAGTTGTCTACGTGGTCAGCAACTATCAATAATGCTTTAGATAGTTCAACCATTTACTGTCTCTTTTGCATTTTTAAGGATTAAAATAATTCAACTAGGTTTTCATTACTAGTGTCATCCAGAAAAATACAGAAGAGGTGATCAATTAAAGTTTTAATCAATCTCAGTTGCCAAAATCATATAGTCAAGATACCGAAACCTCATCTTTTGTGACTCCAAAGAGGAAAAGTTCATTTTGTTGTTGGTTTCAAATTCCATAATGTCGAAGCACATTATTCTCTTTAAAGAATTATGCTAGTTAGAGCATTATGGCTTTAAACCTTTTTTTTTAAAATTTTTATTTTATTTTATGAAAATTGACGGAAATGTAACTTTTGAGTTTTTTAAGTTGTAACCATGGCTGGGGTTGAGAATAGATCAATTGATGGAGTTTTGGGTAGACTAGTATCTCCTGATGAAGTTTTGGGCAGACTAGTATCTCCTAATGGAGTTTTATAGGTACTCTTGATCTGTGCATCTGGTTTACAATATCATTTTTATATTATTCTTCAATATGAGCCAATGCAACTTGTTACATATCTCTTCTTTTCCTTGTGTATTATATCCCATCAAATTGTTTGGAGATTAATTATCGTTTCTCTTCTCTCAGATGCTTGAGATCTGATTAATCATGAAGGTATTGGACGACTCAACAACATGCCACGTATTGCTTTGGCTACCTACAACAATTAATAGTATGCTATTTTTCAATTTTTCATTGTGTTTTATCTCTATGGCATTCATCTTTTCTCATTTAAATGTACTTCAAGAAGGCTGCGACATGCAATGCCAACCCTGTCTTATACTCTAAATAGGTTCCACAGTATGCTGTTCAATAGAGTGAAAGAAGATAAATCCAAATGCATAGATTCATCCTCTAGTATTTTCTTTCATTAGTTTTGCAGAAGACTTCACTTTACAAGTACAGTCTTTTCATGCAAAGATTACTAGTTAAACACATTTAGGCAAAGCTAAAACAGATTTTATCAGGCTTGAATTGATTAGTATGATATTTGTTCATTAGGTAACAACTCTTGTGTGATTAAACCTTGGTTTAAACAAACCTGAACTTTATGTTTCTGCTTGATTCGAACCGGCATACCTAATTGTTTACATCTTAATAAACCATGATTATGAAGTCTTAAATCAATATTTGACACAATAAGATTTAATCATTGAATATTCACTCCGGATTCATTTTGTGGATTAATAGTCTTACACTCAATCTCATGTATACTTGATGGCATTTTGCAAATAGATGTGGATGAAAATATGCCAAGTCTAATTTTGTTTTACTTGGAAATCAAGGTGAATTTTTGAAAAACAGAACTCATATGAACAATTGAGGAAAATAATAATCATTGAGTAGTAGATTTTGTTGAGTTTTCATAATACAATTAAAATTATGAATAATTAAAGTTATATTTTTGTGACAAGTAAAAACTTATATGTATATATATATAAAACAGAACTCATATACATATACATATATATATATATATATATTTGTGATAAGAATAAGTTCAAATTGTGGGGATATATTTTCTGAATACCAACATGTGGCCAAGATGACGCCGACGTGTCAGCCGAGGTGCCACGTGTCCTGGTCATGACGCTGAGGTGATCTCGGCAAGGCCGAGGTTATCTCCGAAGATGTCGGAATCCGAGATAAACGGATAGGGCACAAGAGTCCTAGAATGATGAGGGGACTCAGCCTGGATAAGGATAAAGCTCTTAGGGAGTTTTATCTCTATCTATTAAAGAGTCCTAAACTAAAATTGACTGATGTCAACTTGTTGTGTAGTATGTGCATAGTGCAGTCACTCTGGGGGTCAAGAGATTTCACATCAAATGTAATACAGTTCATTCATATTTGGAATTTTTGCACTAATGTAATCGCAATAATGATTTGTGATTGGGAATTTTTGAAAGGCATACAATTATCATACTTACATCGCAATTTTTTTTAATTAATATTATAAAAATTTATAATTTTTTTTTTATTTTTTATAACAAAGAAATGTGCACGTGTCGTAGCATTTTTCAATATGAAGTATATTTTACTGTGAACAAAATTAAACTCCAAATAAAGGCTATGTAGCCAGTGCTAAACCTTGCAAAACAACATCCATTGACACCCTCCCCCCCAAAAAAAAGAATCTTTTTATTAGCAATATTATCAATTTAAAAATGAATGTTATAATAATTTGTATCTTGAAAAAAAAAAAGAAAGTAAAACTTGAATGAAAAAAATTACTATAAAAAAAAACTAATAGCCTAAATATATATATATATATATATATAATAAAAAAAATCTCAATTTGAGATGTCCTAAAAAATGATTGACATGACATTGAAGTGCTATTGTACATACCTCCCAAAATACACTTGTGGTATCCATTGGATTATTTTGGAAAGTAAGTTAAAAGGTTGATTTTTTGACCCCTTTTTTTATTTTATTTTTGAAAAAATGTGTAAAAAAATGACTTTTTACCCACTTACCAAAACAAACCAAAGTTTCATTCAAAATAATGTTTCATAGTAAAACGTTACAATCTCATAATCAAGTCATAATCACATCTAAAAAAAAAATAAAAAAAAAATCTCAAAATCAAAATTAATTTGGGTCATAAGCAAAAACACCATAAAAATCTTATAGTCAAGTTTCTATAAATTTAATCACATCACAATTTTATAATTAAATTCTACATGATAGATAGCTAAGATTATTATTCAGTGTGCTTGGTTTTCATTTTCTAAATTCAATTTTTTAGAAATTGAGTTTTTTACTCAGATATATCTAAAAGGTAAAACATTTGCAAAAAATATTTTTAAAAATTAATAAATACACAAAAATATAAAATAAAAAAAAATATTCCAAATTTTCGTATTTTTTTGTATTTTTGATATTTAGTAAATTTTTTAAAAAACATTTCACAAATATTTTACTTTTTAAGTGTATTTATGTTAGGTGTGTGTAAAAATAAAATAAAAAAATTGCTCAAAATATTAAAAAAATTTAGTGAAAAGAAAAAAATACGGCAATATAAAAAAGTAAAATTTTTTGAAAAGTAAATTATGAAAACTAAAACCAAGCAAATTAATTTTTTTTATTATTATTTTATAATTAGAATGTAGTATCCACATCATAAATTTTCAAGCTCAAACTGAACTACACAAGGCTGACATGACACGGATCCCTTACTTTCGAGTTTAGATTTACCAAAGTTGAAAATTGTAATTTTGTAGTTAAATTTCAATTTATCTGAACCGTTCATCTCATATAAAATATTAAAAAGAACATGAAAAAAAATTAGATTGATCAAATAGAAATAATTTTATCATCAAATCACATATATATTATAACATATTGATGGTCCATTCTTAAGAGCATATAAGTCATATAGATCAAAATGATCTAATAATATGACCATCGATATTGGATTAACTTAATTTGTTTATGAATAATTTTTTAAATTTAATAAAATATACGATTTAGATCACCAAAATTAATTTAAATTAATTTGATAATAAATTAACTTTCTTGTAAAATTCAGATACTAAACTTGCCACAACCAAAATTGATTGAAAAGACAATTAAACTATCAAAGTCGTCGACGCTTTGGATATGATTTTTTTTTCTCTTTTGTGTTATACTTTGGGTTCGTTTAGGATGTGGGTTGGCTTTTTGACTTTTTGACTGTCACGACCCCATTCCGCCCCTAGTAGAATGGTGCCGTGATGGCCAGTAATCCGAGATTACCGAAGGCCAACTTTCAAAGATTCACACACAATCAGAGTATTACATATGGGGCTAACATGTGCGGACGCAATATATACAAATCTAATTAGTCCATAAGAGTTGTGCATAAGTCAAATGAAATGGCATACATCTTTACATAGCTTTACAACTTGAATATAATCAAAATAAAATACATATTACATCTTGACTAAAAGGCTTCTCAAGCCAACATATACAAAATACATGAAATACAACTAAGAAGCATAATTTTCAAGATTGCCGACATAAATATTGCCGACATAACATGGATCAAACATCATCTTGCAAATAACACATCTCGGCGTCACCGCCTTCATGCTTGTTACCTACATATATATAAGGAGAGGGTGAGCTTGGATACTCAGTGAATGGTATAAGTAATAAAGGGGTTAAATGAATGATTTCCGAGGTCCTTGTCAAAACAATACATATATCATAGCTTGTTCAAAACATGGGATGAATCAAGTTCATCAATCAAATCTTGGTCTTTCAAATCTTCTTGGGATGTTTAATAACATCTACATAATACATGGGGTGATGACATTCCTGACAAAACAAACCCACCCGTTCATAGACCGTCGGTGGCAAGACAAGGGTGCAGTTGCATTATAGTCCCCTGGCACTAAGGACTTTCAAGACAAGGGTGCAGTTGCATTATAGTCCCCTGGCACTAAGGACTTTTCCAAGAATGTCATCAAAACGAGATAATACTTGATATACAAAATAGGGATAATCATTCATGCTTGATCAAATACTTTTCAAAACAAAGCAAACCAAAGCTTATCAAAACATTGTAACATAGCTTTATTAAAAATACCACTCACATAGCTCTTCGGACGTCGGGGTTAAAGCAAGGATCCAAGACCTACAAATATATGGCAAAGTCTACTAAATGCACTTCAAGAAGACAAGAAGAGATGCTCAAAGA